GGGCGCCTCCCCCCTCCGGCCGGAGCCCCCGCCTGGGACGCTCAGCGGCTTGGCCGAGCTGCGGGAAGGACCCAGGCATCCGGGGCCGGGCTGGGAGCCGAGGGGTCTCCATCCCCAGGCCCCGTGCCCCTGCCCCATGGCAAAGCAGACCCCCTCCAGCCTCCCTGCGCGGCGGTGACCTCGTGTCTGGCGAGCTGGAAGCCTCTGCTGCTGCCGGGACCTAATCAGGCCACGCGGGGGTGGGCTCAAATGTCGGCCAAGCCCCACGTGCCGTGAGCTGACATTCAACCATGCGGCTCCAGCGCTTCCCAGAGCGGGGGGCAGGGAGGATGCCCAGCCCTTCCCCGTGGGCAGCGCGCTCCCTGCCCCGGGCTTGCTCCTGGCTTCTCCCCTGCCAGGGCCACTGCCAGCCCCGGGGTCGTCCGGCCTCTGGACAACCGAGCCCCCGGTGCCCACTGCCCGCGCCCCTCCCTGGGGCACACCAAGCCACCAGCCCTTTGTCCAGCCCCAGCTTGGCGCATCCAGAGGGAGACGTGGCACGTACACGAGGCCTCCCCATGCCCATCCCAGCTTGCACACACACGGCTTGCCAACCCCATCCGCCCCGGCCGCCTGCACTGACCTTGATCTCCACGCCGTAGCCGGGGTACACGGAGATGGCGTAGGTGCAGTCCAGGCTGCCCTCGGGGCCCGAGCTGGGGCCGGGCGGCTCCGGAGACTCCAGGGAGCCCTCGGGGCCCGTGAGGTTCCAGGCGCACGGAGCTGGAAAGCAGCAAGAGCCGATGGGCCGTGTGCCGGCTGCGCCAGTCCCCAGCCCCCCACGCCCAGCATCCCCCAGGGGCCACAGCAAGCCCCCAGAGCCTCCCCTGCACAAGCCCACCCTAACCCCCGTGGCCCGGCTGGCACAGGCTCTCACCTGGCGCCGGCCCCGTGGTGATGGTGGTGGTGGTGATGAGGGTAGTGCTGGTGGTGTCCTCGTCATCCCCAGAAGCCGTGGCGCTGGGGGTCACCGCTGTCCGGGGCTCCACGGCCTGGGGCAGAGTTGGGCCGGGCAGCCTGGGGGGCACCGCCAGGGCTGGGGGGCTGGAGGCGGTGGGGGGGCTGCTGGGCACTGTGGCGGGGCCTGGGCGCAGCAGGCCGGTGGGGGAGAAGGTTGGGGCAGGGGTGACCGGGGGCTCCGTGCGCACCGGCCCGGGGACGGTGGCACGTGGCTCTGGCCACGGCACCACGGGGCCCACGGCCGTGGCCAGCAGCTCCGTGGTGAAGACCGGCCTGGCCATTTCAGGTGTCCCCTCCATGTCCCCAGCCTCGGCTCTGCTGCCCATCAGCGCCGTGGGGGCGGAGGGCGTGCTGGGCTCAGGGAAGGCCGGGGGCTCATCCGGGCGTGCCAGGCTGGGTGCAGGCGTCGGGGCGAGTGGCTCGGGTGGGTCAGGTGGGGCGGGGCGCTGGGCACCCCCAAGGAAGGGCCCTGGGCGGGGGGCGTCCCGCAGGAAGTCCTCCAGCAGCGGGTGGTGGTTGAGCAGGTCGAGCGGGGGGGCCGTGGTGACGAAGCGGGCCTCGGCCACGGGCTCGTCCGGCGTGGGCAGCACTGTCGGCTCCTCCTCCCAGCTGCCCGCTCCCTTGCGGGCCAGCGCGTTGGGCACCTCGGGCTGCAGCCCTGCAACAAGGAGACGGCAGGTCGGCGGGGGGGCCCCTTGTCCCTAGCACCAGCCCTGCCCCCTGGCACCCCAGGGCTCTGCTGGGAGCGTGCAGGCTGTGCCCAGAGAGACCCTCCTGCTTAACTGGAGGTGGCACCCGCTGCTCCGCGTGCCGAAGGGTGCATGTGCATGCATGTGCGTGTGGGCATTGCTATGCATGTGCATGCATGCAGGAGGTCCCCAGCTGGTGTCCCTCACTCCCGACCCGCGGCCCCCCTGCCCCACACCCCATGATGCTCTGGGAAGAATTGCCCCACGGGGCCAGCGGTGCAGGGAGCGGGGTCCCGCGGGGAGTCCCGGTGCGGGGCTGTGACCCCCAAGGAGCCAGAGCTCCAGGCTGGGCCCGCGCCGGCGTGTGCAAGGAGCCGTGGCCCTGGGGATGCGGGCAGGGTCCTGGCCGGCATACGTGGCCGGCTGCCCTGCCGCGGAGCCTCCCACCCCCATGGGACCATGGCTCCGGCTAGAGGGACGTGATGCCGGTTGCCATGGCTACTCGGGCTGCTCTGTGCGCAGATGTTCGTGGGAGGCCAGCGGGGCCGAGGGCTGGGCCCCGCCACGGGCAGGCTCCCCTTGCCCAGCCCCTCGACGCCCCGCAGGCCTCGGCCCCACAGCTGGCTCCCAAGGGGCCTCAGAAGAGACAGGTCAGGGGCTTGAACAGAGCCCCCACGCAGCCCCATCCAGCTGCTGCCCCCGGGCCCCCCGCGGCAGCGCCCCTCCCCTGCCACCCGACACCCATCACGTGGCTCCGGGAGCTGGGGCTTGACGCAAGCAGCAAGCCCCATGCACAGACCACGCGCTACCACAGGGCAGGGCAGGCGGGGAGCGCTGGGGCGTGGGCTCCATGGCAGGGTCCCGCCGCGGGCGCCACACTCCAGCCCCCGCACGCGATCTCCCGAGCTGCGCAACCCCCGCACGGAGCCCGGGAGCCCTCGGGACGGAGAGAGAACGGGCCTCGCCAGCCCCAGCAAGTGTTGGGCAGGCCTCCCGGCGCCCTCGCCACCCCTGCCCCGAGGCATCCAACACCCACCCTGGAGGCACCCAGGAGCCCGGTAACACCTGGCTCGGGACCCCGCCGGAGCAAGGCCTGGGACCCCCGGGGCAGCCCGCGCTGCAGGCCCTACAGCAACACGGCAGCTGTTTGCTCCACTGCCCGAGGCCCTGCAGGGGCCACGATGCACCTGCCACGGGCACCTGGCACCTGCGTCGGCTGCGGTCGAGGGGCTCGCCAAGGCGCCAAGGTGGGGCAGGGGCTGCGTTACAGGCAGGACACATCTCGCATGCGGCGGCACGGGCCCGATGACACAATACTGCCAATTAGCGGGTAATTATCCCGTGCCGCACCAAGGGCATGGCCCTGCCAGGATTAATGACTGCGCTGCTGCCGCCTGCGAGGCACCGGGAAGGAGCCAGCTCCATGCTGGGAGGGAG